ATACGTATGCATACATATGAGGTGATTTTTTGGAGGTATTTTCAAATGGGTCCAGCGCATGTAAATTTTAATAACTTGGCCGAAGTCTTATTATATATTATATATTATAATTCCGATGGATAAGCATCTTCTTTAGATAGAGAATGGTGCAACCTAATGTACATATTTGATTTTAGATTGATTTGATTTAGAAATACTATGCATGAGATGTTTATACATAGTACTGCCCTTGGAAAGCTCTACTGTTGCAGATCACTTCTGGTCTCCGGAAATATTTTAGTATTTTTTTTTTACTATTCTTTATCAACGCTTACAAAAAAATATCTCCACATCCTGGAATATTCTGCATTTAGGTGTAAAACAATTTAGCAAAGCTTATCATTTAATCAATGACTCAATAAGCATTGGTTCGAACCCACAAATTTATCCATAACAGCGGACGTGACTCATCAACGAACGACCAATGACGTTGACAATATCATCATTTCGTGAAATCCAAACAATTTGTGGTATAGGGCCTTTTATTCTACAACTAGCAAATGCCTGGCTTGCTTCGCGAAGCCTTATGAGAACTTTTGCGTTGACCAATACAAAAATAGTGTTGCTATGCAAACACGGTTTGTAATGTAAAAATTATTAGTTTAGGTTGAAAAGACTGTAGAGCAGAACCTTGCTAAGAGCTCTTATTTCCACCTGTGAGATGTCTGCAAGTATTGCAAGGTTTGCCGAGAGTGCGTAATCTTCTTCTATAATACTGCTGTTCAACAGGATGAAAGAGTTTTCCCGTTCAAACAGGGTTATTAATATTCCTACCGTGTTCTCTCTAATTCAGCACACTTCTTCTTGATATACCGATGACCCGTTGAGTGCCTAGGATATCTGTGGAGCTTAAACAATTTTGCGCTTCTTTGTATGCATACTTAAAGAATGGGGTTTTATTAAGTCATCTAGAATGTAAATTTGTAGAGGGGCATCTAAATATTATGATTTCATCGCCTTCTACGTTTTGGGTATCTTTTTCTGCAGAAGTACTTTTTATCTTAAAGTTAATAGCCGTTAATCCAGGTCATCTGTCGGCCACATTTTTTGCAAAAGTATATTATACGGTGCAGAGCGTATGTGAAGTATGAATCCGAAGTTATGGCTAATTATAAATTTCACACCTATGGGATGAGGCACGCCCCTTTTACAAAAGTAGATCTACTTTACAATACGCATCTACCATAGATATGTATTTCAACACACAAAATTTTAAAGTCATGTGACTTACGGTTTCGAAGTTATAGCTGATTAAAAATGTCGCGCGTATGAAAGTTGCTACGTCCCCTTGTCCGATATCATTTTTTTATACCCTAGGCTACGTCCGAGGTCACTCTCTATATACCAGTTAAAGCCCCAAACAGACAAACAAACTACAGCTTTATTATAGTATAGATTATCGTTTAATTTCGGCTACCTGGCAATCCTTTGTTGTCACGTACGCCAAAAGTTAAATAAAAATTGAAGGCCTGCTATAATGCATTCTCCGCCAGCTTGAGCACGATCGCTATGCACATGCATACATACATACGAGTGCATTTAACTGCATATTGTATACACACTGGGTTGCATTCCTTCTCTCGCTTATGCACTCTAAGTACTCAAAAATACATATAATTATGTATGGTGGCAATACCAGGCAGGGAGCAAATGTGCATTCACATACATACAAATGTATCTCAGATTTTTTCAATTTACTCAACACGAAGATGTGTATACTGTAACCACAAAGGTGCATATGTACATATGTACATAGTACATATGAACATAAATATATACCTTACAAAACAGTGTGTAAATGAGTTAAAATTATTGTAATGGTAGGATGTGATCTTTAGATCCCGAGAAGTGCCTTTGCTGTGAAAGAACACAATCCATTTCCTCAATATTCTATAAGGTCTATAAGAGAACATGAAACTTTGAGCAGAGGCGCAGCTACGCAAATACCAGAATCTGATTCCTTACCTCACCACTCTGAAAACCAAGCTTTCGTTTAACGATACTTAAAAAAATCAAAATTGCTGCATTGGGATGTAAAATAAAAAATATCGTCGCTACCATGTCAAAGTATCGAATGTGCAAAAATGCTTTTTCATTTACGATACCTTGCGCATTCAGCAATTAGCAAGTTTGCCATTTTGATGCCATAACTCGGGGATACAGCCATTTGGCGGCTTTAAAGAATTTCAGTACGTTATACAGAGAGAGAGCGGCACTCTGAAATATTCTGCACGAATGGTTTGCCGAATGTATTTAGCCTCATCCTTAGGAAGGCTGTACTCACCCCCAGGAAGTAATCGACCGTCTCTTTAGAGCCCGGGGCATTACAACTGCGACAGAACCTATTAAAGGGTAAGCTAATCCTTTTGACATATATCCCAACGGACTAAGGGCCTGCGTAGACTGCAGTAAATTTCCAGGTATCCTCTTCTCTCATTCCTAAAAGAGCTTTTAGTCTTAAGTGAGTCGTAGTACCCCCGGAACTGCCGGGTAATCCTATACGATCCTGCACGGTTGCAGCTCTGTCTGGCTTTGCTTTGATCTCCCTAAAGCAGGCCTCATGTCCACCGCGTGGGACACATTCAGTGCCGAGCCGCACCTTGCGAGTTCGTCCGCTGCCTATGTCCCGAGACACATATTACGATAATTTCGTATTGATCAGAAATCGAGGCCAGCTCTCCCCTAAAGTTGTCCACTATTTCAGATATCAAAGGTAAAAGAGAGTGCTTTAATTGCTGCTTGGTGTTCTAATGGGTATATTCTCTTTGAAGTACCCTAGTGCCTCCTTAATTACCTAGAAACGCTGGTAGGCGAAAATATAAGTTTGGGTTATATGAAACCACTCGACTTCCAATTAAGTTTGGAACCATGGTTTAGTAAAATTATGTAATCTTGTTTTATTTGTGAAAAGCATAAGACATTTTTCTCAGGGTTTACGCGCGCGGTAAAAATGGAAATTTTGGGATCCCCTATATCTTGAGAATGCGGCGTATCGGGCTTATGCCCTTTATAGATTTCAAAGAGGTCAACTAACACTACGATTTAGTGGAGTTTTCGAGGGAAATTCTGCAAGCGTCTAAGAACTGATTGCAAGTAAAATCACAGCTGACCACTGCTGATCACTGCTGACAAGAGCTGAAAACATAACTGCCGTCCCTAAATTGGAGCGCTAAACGTTGAGTTTTCC